AGAAGGGGTTGGGGTTGGGGTTAGATGTGAGAGTAGGTGGAGTTTTTGGAAAATGTTTTCGTAATTTTTTTTAGGGAAATCATTTTCATCCAATTTCAGAAAAATATGATATCTCGGAAAATATTTTTCAAACTATTTTGTACAACCAAACAATGGAAAATGAAAAAATATTTTTCGTCATGCCAAACACACCCATAGTGTTATATATTACCTCGAGCAATTTTTTTAAATTTTTAAGAAATCCAAGGAAATAATCTCAATAATTGTAGATAAAAGTTTTCCCAAAAATAGGAGTACAAATCTACTTAGACAACAAAAATGAGGAAGGTTTTTAAAAAGTGCAAGAAGTGTTCAAAACAATGAGAACCTAAAAATAAACTCAATATTTTGTTACAAGCTCAATTCCAACTCACTCTTAAAACTAATTACAAGTCATCTCCTTATCCACAATCTTATTTTTTGTATAAAGTTTCTTTTTCATCCTATATCATAATGGACATTTCTTTTTCAAAAAACAAAATCTTGTCACGAGTTCAAATCGTAAAAGCAGCCACTAATGTTTGTATTAGAATAAATTGTTTACACCATATCTCTTGAAGTACGGTCCTTCCTCGAATCCTGTGTCAATGCATAATGCTTTGTGCATCGGACTATCTTTTTTAAACAGAAAGAGGTTGAACTTTTCTTCTTGATTTCTCTATCTTTAACCAAAAACACTCAATTATTGTGAGCCAATCTCTATCCTTTCTTTCATCAGCAAAACAGCATTAAAAAATTCATCCATAGCTCTAACAGAAGATCCTTTGTAATCATCCTCATCTCTAGCAGCATCTTTAATCATTTCTTTAATTTCACAAGCTTTACCTCTTAATCTTTTCCCCTTTTCACTTTCACCCATAACTAACTCAATCTTTTCAATTAAGTCCCCATATCTCACATCAAAAGTTGTCCCTCTAGCCATTTCAACACAAACACCAATTTCTTCTTCCAATAACTTAGCATTAAAAAATTGATCAGCTGCCATTGGCCATCCAATTAATGGAACTCCATTAATAAGTGATTCAAAAACTGAATTCCAACCACAATTACTTAAAAATCCACCTATTGATTCATGTGCCAAGATTTCAACTTGAGGTGCCCAATTTAACACTATTAATCCTCTTTTTTCATTTTCTTGAACTGTTTGAATAAACCCTTCTGGTAACCATTCTTCTGGTTTAAATTCAGTATTTATATCAAACCCTAAAGGTGGTCTAATTACCCAAATAAAATTTATTTCAAGACCATCTAATGCTTTTGCTAATTGCATTATTTGAGATGCGGAGATTGTATTTTGTGCACCAAAACATATGTAAAGAACTGATTTTTTCTCCTTTTTATCCAACCATTCTTTGCATATATCCAAGGAAATTCCTAGTTCTTTCCTAGGACTTAGTCTTACTCTATCATTTTCTTGCAAATTTATTGGTCCTATTGCCCAAATTGGTATACATAACTTCCTTCTAAAATACATTAATCCATTTTTGTCAAACTCTTCAACTGTATTGAAAAGAACCCCATCTGAATTTTTCCAAGTTGGAAGATTTTTCAACTGAAAAATTGAATAAGGATCATTTCCATCTGCTATTGCTAGACTAGGTGACAATTGTGTAACATGAAATTTTCCAGCTTCTTGAAAATCAGGTAGTATAAACTCAAGTTTATCAGTATATCTATGAGGTAAATTTAACCACATAGAGTAATAACAAGCTAACCCAAATCCACTAGTACCACAAAAAATAGCATGGAAAATACCAAATTCATGAGTTACCTTAGCTGACCATCCAAAAAAGAAATCTGCTATAACACAAATTGGTTTCTTGAAAAATCCAATCTTTTCATCCACAAGATCACTTAGAATTTTCTTGAAATTAGGTTCAAGTGTAGGGGATATTTCAAGAAGCTTGAAAACAAGATTATAAGGGAGAGAATCATTGATTTCAGCATCTAGTGGAAGACCATGTTTAGTACTGTCAAAGGGTATTTCAAGAAAGTGAATTGAAGATTTTGTAGGGAGTGATGATTTGAGTTTTTTGATGTTTAGTGGTGTGTTTATGAAAGTGATTTGATATCCCTTTTGTTCAAGTTTGAAAGCTAAGGCTAAGAAAGGGATTATATGGCCTTGTGCCATGAAAGGGAAGAGGATTATGTTACCTTTTTTTCCTTCCATAGTTTGTAGGATGGAAAGAAGAAGATGGAAAATAGGAGGAAAAAGAAGAATGAATTTTCTAAATAAGAAATGAAAGCTGTCCTTGAAATCGTCTAGTTGGAAAGGAAAGGTTTATCCTTGTTGGATTATTAATTGAGTTCCTATAGAGGTTTTTGACTTTTCATGTATTTCACCAATGGACTATCAAATATTACTCATACGACGTAGTTTGGCTCTGCATAAATTTAAGAAAAAAAATAGATTTTTGAAATTTATGGTTTTAAAATCTTAAGAGGTAAAAACTTTGTGGAATCATGATATTTTTGTGGTTATAAAAGTTTCTCAATAATGGATAAAATGAAAAGTTTAAAGTTGAATTATTTCAAAATTTAAAAATGTGTCATTTATTTAGGAATAGACTAAAAAGAAAAGTACCTCATCTAATTTAAAACGGAAGGAGTATGAGAGTTTTTCATCCAATATAATAGTTGTATATTGAAGGAGAACCTTGATGTAACTGATAAAGTTGATGTCATGTGATTAAGAGGTCATGAGTTGAAGAGGTGGAAACAACCTCTTGAAAAAATGCAGAATAAGGTTGTGTGTAATAGACCCTTGTGGTCCGGCCCTTTCTGGACCCCGTACATAACAGGAGCTTAGTGCATCAGGCTAGTCTTTTTTTATAACGGATGTAGATTCATTTTTTATTGTCCCTTTTCTCCTTTTCATTTCCAATGTCCTCTATGCAATTAGATATTAAAAAAATAAAAGAAAAAAAAGTGTCATTAGAGATAGAAGAGGACCTTAGAATAGAGAAACTTTTTTCCCATTGTTGTAAATTTGGTGAAAGGTCATGTTAATGATTAATCTAGACTTCTCCTAATAGATAATAGTAAAAGATATCTACATCATTAATTTATAAAGCATTATTGATCCATATTATAAATATTCAAACCAGTAATTTTGGACCTTTTCTCATTTCATTTTCACCCTACAATAACTACGCATGAATTTCAAATTTACATAATATAATTTTAAAGAAGGAGATTCAATTATTGTATTATCTAATTTTTGTTGTTATAAACTTGCATATATTTTGTAAATATATGTATTTCATTATTTATAACGTTTTAATATCTTACCATTAACAAGTCATTATTAGACCCTGCATGTCATAAGACAATAGACAAAGCGTAATTTCTTTTTATAAACAATAAGGTCAACATTTTCCCACATTTAGATCCACATCCGTTTAAATACAATTTGACCAATATTCGTGCTTAATCAAAGCAAAATAATTAAATTGACACCGCAGAAAAACTTGTATACTACCACTGTAAACAATCTCACAAATGATAATTACATATAACTAAAAAATAAATTTACTAAAAAATAAGACAAACAATTTACTACTAACATGTTAAATTATACAGACAGTACAAAAACTCTTACTACTAGGGATAGCAAACGGGCGGCCCTGGTCGGATATGAGCGAGTCGAAAACGGGTAATAAAAAAACGGATAAATTATTCAACCCAACCCATTTTTAATACGGATAAAGATGATTTAACCGTTAGATAATATGAATATCCGTTATTTGGGAGAATTCCTAGTCTCCCAAACTCGAGTAACCTCCAATTTGAGGCTTTACAAATGTAATAGTTGACCCATTGGTTATCCTTTGGTTTATCCATTTTCTAAGTGGATAATATGCTTTTGATGGGTTATCCGATTCTCAGATTTTCGTATGCTATAGCCCACACCATCTGCATGCATCCGGGCTACCAGACCCGAATCGCCTAAAATTTTGTCGAACTATCAAAAACGTCATAGAGAACAATAGTCATCGCTTTGCCATGAACGTTCCTCGTTTTTTGGCATTTTAGGGCAAAAAAATTGGA